ATGAAAAATATTCAATTTGCATTTTATACTGAAAGAACTAGCCTGAGTTTAGGTTTGTGGAAGCTACACTCCACTACCACTGGATTAGGCACCTCACACAACACAATGTTTGTTTTCTACAAGGGCTTCAAACAGCTGTCGTAGCGACGATTAGAGACTCGAAAGATATCGGAGTAGTCCATTTCGATAATATCTATAGCTATATTGTTGCTGCAGCTATCTAGATTTCTCGCCTGCGTACATCATAGCTTGTAATAACGAAGAGGAAAAATCGTTCATCTAGCAGTGGGTGGCATTCTAGGATATCAGCACGCCAAAATGAGAAAAAGGGGAGGCTTGAGAATCTGTTAGACGAAAAGATTTCTTCGCTTGCTTAACCGGATTACGACACATATATTGAACCACCGCAATCAAATTCACAACTCCAAGTTAATATTAATATTGTTTGTTGAAGATTGGCAGAACCTATCATTTTGTAATTACGACAGTCTCTCCTCTTTATTGAAAATCGCCAGAACTTAAAATTCTAATGAATAAGTTATAATGTTGATTGCCTATGTTTCTTTTCTACATGTGGCTTCAATAACTAACGAATATAGCCTAATTGGCTAAAAAGTTTAGCTCTATATACATTGACGAGTGGTTGTAGTCTCGCCCAAAGGCAAGCTAATATTTTTGTGTAATTCATAATTAATCTCATGTAAAGGTAATTTTTTGAAAGGATTAGCATGCAAGGAAAAAGCAGTTGATTAAGTTTTGTGGTAAACCAATTGAATTTGAATTTTGTAAGTGTGTGGTTTAGAGACACGAAACCTTATGTACTCTAATTCAAAGTTACCGTAGTGTCGTTGTTAAGACCTCGGACAACTAAGCTTCTTGCCCACATCCATTGATATCGAAGGCCGTCGCTTGTAAAAATCTATAAAGAAATTTTTTAAAGAACTGCGCTACCACAGTTTTCTGTGCTTACCGAGAAAGGTGACATGAGAGAATTTAGGATGTTTTAATTTTTTAAAGTGAAAGAATAATAGTTGCACTTTTGCAAAAAAAAAATCATCGATAAAGTGTTATTTGTTATTTCCACAACCAAAATGACAAGTTTTGAAATGTTCATAAAACATGTTATTTGAAAACCAAAAAGCAAACCGCTTAAAAATTGTCGGATATTTTAGGATTATCACCTTTGGCTTAATATCCGATCGTAGCCATGGCCGTTTTAAGTGTGCATACCGAGGAAGAAACTCTACAGAATCAAGACTTTCCACCTGAAAATAAATTATTTTTGCGCTGTAACATTGATAATGGTTGAATTCCACCCTCAGAAGCTTGTTGTGTTCCGAAATTAAGGTCAATACAAAGCTTTGTTGTTTCTTTTGAAACGATGACTAAACGCTAGATGGGAACTGACTACTAAACATAAGGTCTCGTACATCAATGCCATTTCACTTTTTTGAAAACAAAATAAAATGAATTTCGAAA